CCCCACAGGCACCCCAAAGTCCCCATTGTCCCCAGCATCCATGGCCACCCCAAGGTTCCCAGTGTCCCCATGGCCACCCCAAGGTCCCTGGTGTCCCCATGGGCACCCCAAGGTTCCTGGTGTCCCCACAGGCACCTCAAGGTCCCCGCTGTCCCCACAGGCACCCCAAAGTCCCCATTGTCCCCAGCATCCATGGCCACCCCAAGGTTCCCAGTGTCCCCATGGCCACCCCAAGGTCCCTGGTGTCCCCATGGGCACCCCAAGGTTCCTGGTGTCCCCACAGGCACCTCAAGGTCCCCGCTGTCCCCACAGGCACCCCAAAGTCCCCATTGTCCCCAGCATCCATGGCCACCCCAAGGTTCCCAGTGTCCCCATGGCCACCCCAAGGTCCCTGGTGTCCCCATGGGCACCCCAAGGTTCCTGGTGTCCCCACAGGCACCTCAAGGTCCCCGCTGTCCCCACAGGCACCCCAAAGTCCCCATTGTCCCCAGCATCCATGGCCACCCCAAGGTTCCCAGTGTCCCCATGGCCACCCCAAGGTCCCTGGTGTCCCCATGGGCACCCCAAGGTTCCTGGTGTCCCCACAGGCACCTCAAGGTCCCCGCTGTCCCCACAGGCACCCCAAAGTCCCCATTGTCCCCAGCATCCATGGCCACCCCAAGGTTCCCAGTGTCCCCATGGCCACCCCAAGGTCCCTGGTGTCCCCATGGGCACCCCAAGGTTCCTGGTGTCCCCACAGGCACCTCAAGGTCCCCGCTGTCCCCACAGGCACCCCAAAGTCCCCATTGTCCCCAGCATCCATGGCCACCCCAAGGTTCCCAGTGTCCCCATGGCCACCCCAAGGTCCCTGGTGTCCCCATGGGCACCCCAAGGTTCCTGGTGTCCCCACAGGCACCTCAAGGTCCCCGCTGTCCCCACAGGCACCCCAAAGTCCCCATTGTCCCCAGCATCCATGGCCACCCCAAGGTTCCCAGTGTCCCCATGGCCACCCCAAGGTCCCTGGTGTCCCCATGGGCACCCCAAGGTTCCTGGTGTCCCCACAGGCACCTCAAGGTCCCCGCTGTCCCCACAGGCACCCCAAAGTCCCCATTGTCCCCAGCATCCATGGCCACCCCAAGGTTCCCAGTGTCCCCATGGCCACCCCAAGGTCCCTGGTGTCCCCATGGGCACCCCAAGGTTCCTGGTGTCCCCACAGGCACCTCAAGGTCCCCGCTGTCCCCACAGGCACCCCAAAGTCCCCATTGTCCCCAGCATCCATGGCCACCCCAAGGTTCCCAGTGTCCCCATGGCCACCCCAAGGTCCCTGGTGTCCCCATGGGCACCCCAAGGTTCCTGGTGTCCCCACAGGCACCTCAAGGTCCCCGCTGTCCCCACAGGCACCCCAAAGTCCCCATTGTCCCCAGCATCCATGGCCACCCCAAGGTTCCCAGTGTCCCCATGGCCACCCCAAGGTCCCTGGTGTCCCCATGGGCACCCCAAGGTTCCTGGTGTCCCCACAGGCACCTCAAGGTCCCCGCTGTCCCCACAGGCACCCCAAAGTCCCCATTGTCCCCAGCATCCATGGCCACCCCAAGGTTCCCAGTGTCCCCATGGCCACCCCAAGGTCCCTGGTGTCCCCATGGGCACCCCAAGGTTCCTGGTGTCCCCACAGGCACCTCAAGGTCCCCGCTGTCCCCACAGGCACCCCAAAGTCCCCATTGTCCCCAGCATCCATGGCCACCCCAAGGTTCCCAGTGTCCCCATGGCCACCCCAAGGTCCCTGGTGTCCCCATGGGCACCCCAAGGTTCCTGGTGTCCCCACAGGCACCTCAAGGTCCCCGCTGTCCCCACAGGCACCCCAAAGTCCCCATTGTCCCCAGCATCCATGGCCACCCCAAGGTTCCCAGTGTCCCCATGGCCACCCCAAGGTCCCTGGTGTCCCCATGGGCACCCCAAGGTTCCTGGTGTCCCCACAGGCACCTCAAGGTCCCCGCTGTCCCCACAGGCACCCCAAAGTCCCCATTGTCCCCAGCATCCATGGCCACCCCAAGGTTCCCAGTGTCCCCATGGCCACCCCAAGGTCCCTGGTGTCCCCATGGGCACCCCAAGGTTCCTGGTGTCCCCACAGGCACCTCAAGGTCCCCGCTGTCCCCACAGGCACCCCAAAGTCCCCATTGTCCCCAGCATCCATGGCCACCCCAAGGTTCCCAGTGTCCCCATGGCCACCCCAAGGTCCCTGGTGTCCCCATGGGCACCCCAAGGTTCCTGGTGTCCCCACAGGCACCTCAAGGTCCCCGCTGTCCCCACAGGCACCCCAAAGTCCCCATTGTCCCCAGCATCCATGGCCACCCCAAGGTTCCCAGTGTCCCCATGGCCACCCCAAGGTCCCTGGTGTCCCCATGGGCACCCCAAGGTTCCTGGTGTCCCCACAGGCACCTCAAGGTCCCCGCTGTCCCCACAGGCACCCCAAAGTCCCCATTGTCCCCAGCATCCATGGCCACCCCAAGGTTCCCAGTGTCCC